CTAAGACGACCAGGCACAGGTACAGTTTCTTGCACCAGGCTGTCACTCTGATGAATACTTAACCCACGACAGTGTGATTGGACAATAACCTTCAGTGCAATACCTGTGTATATACCTTGTACAGATTATACAGATTCGTACAGGTCTCTAGTTTTAAGTACTCTGTTTTTATTCCTATTTATCTAATTTCAATGAACATTCCCTGTTGTCTGCATTGTTTACTGTCTGTTTATACTGCTTTTTCTGTATTGCTTGCACTGTTTGTTGCTGTCAATATTGCTGTTAATACTGCTTATTTTGTTATATTACACAGCCTTATGCTGGTTTACTGTTTGCACATTGAGAGCCGATGTACCTGAGTCAAATTCCTCATGTGTCCATCACACCTGGCCAATAAAAGTGATTCTGATTCTGATTCTGACCCAGTCATCTGGCTGTAGCAATTTGGCCCTGGTGAGAGTCGCTCAGGTCTTTTCACCTCCCCATATCCACCCCGACTACAAGAATGGATTGTTCATCTATTGTCTAATACACTAAGTTGTTTTAGTGAGGTATTGAATCAACTGCATGATCTTTTTGAAAGATGTAGTTTGTGGTATTGTTGAATTGTTTTGTGTTATACTGTTATACCCCAGTTCTTTTATTGGACAGCTCTGAATAACGAAGGAGTCCGTCTTTCTTCATTTTAGTGCTGATTTATTTTAAAACCACAAATAAAACTACAAGAGACAACCCGGGTGGCTCCCTCCTTCAGACAAGCTGCTGGAGAAGAGGAGTCCCCGGAAACACAGAGGCTAATACGTTTATAAGTTTTTGGGCTAACCTCTTACACAGACAGTTATAAGAACATCACAAGCTGGAGTCAGTCTGGCGTCTCCTCTTATATAGAGGTCCAGCTGCATGGAGCCGCTAGCCATAACAAAATGAAAAATTCCGTGTGTGTGTGTGTGTTACGTGGTGCATAACTAAAACATTCATTCAGACATAATTCTAACACAAGGTGAATACAAGAAAACAATTGGTGTCAAGGTACACTTTTCAAAATCAACATTGTCTTCTAACTTTGAAGCAAAGCAGACTAGAGCAGACTTTGAATCTTACTAAACTGGATTACTAACACATTAAAGTCTAACACATTAATGTCTAATAATTATCTGACTGATTTATTCATTTCTAACAATACTCACAGGCATGTCTTATTTTGTCCACCCCTTTTACAGTACATCAGTGAGTCTGGACTAAAAAGCTTTTTGTATAATGCAGTACAGTTCAACAGTAGCATAGATCACAACCTCCAGAGTGATTATATAGTTGAATCAACAGTTTGAACACAAGCTGAGCATTATCACTTTCATCAAAGGGCAATTTATTGCAGGATTGTGGGATGAGACTTAGTTTTAGCTTTGTCTATCTAATAAAGTGACCCTGCGTGTATATACCAGACCCTGATTCACACCACTGTCATGAGGTAATTACTTGCTTCATTTGTAAGTGTTCCTAATGTTTTGGCTCATTGTTGTATTCTGTATCTCCGGTATCCATAGCCTCCATGACATAAATGGCCATACAAACTGAAATTGTCCTTACATTGTCACAGTCTGGGGATGTCCAATGAGTATGTTTTAAAAAGTAGTTCAAATGAACTGTACATTAAGCCACACTCAGGAGGGCCACTAAAATCATCACTGTGAATTTGCTTTCCCAGTGTTCACATTTTAATCCAAGGGTTTTAGAATTTGCTTTAAAAATACCAACAACTGTGTGTGATTTGAGTTCAGTGTCTAATGTTTATTCTACGTGCCACTAGGGGCTAGTGCTCTTTGAGTTCATGCCATGAGAGCATTCTTGAATAAGATGACCTAGTTCTGGGCGTATGCTGCTAACAGGACTACAGTAATACGATGTGTGCACCCTGCAGTGTGCTGCAATACGATCCCATTCCTCCTCACTTATACTCGTTCTAACTGCCATTTGACTGTTTTCTCCCTGTGTCTATTCTCTGTGCTGTCAGGCCCTGGGAAGGAAATGGGAGCCAAGCCATCACTGATGGGGGGCACAGGGCCCGGCTCTGCACTGGTTCCTTCTCCCATTCTAGAAAACATCCAGGCAGCATATGAAGCCGGACAGGTGGAGGCTGCGCGGGAGCAGATCCAACAAGCCTGCTGTGTGGAGTGCAGGGGAGGGACACCACGCATTGATGGGGTGAGTGCACATAAAATAATCATTGCACGTTGTCAGCTGCACTCCTGTTTGGGATTTGGTTACCATGGTTACTGTTAATTTTGGGAGACTGTGACTACTTACTGAAGTCTGTTGTGTTGTTTTTTTTTTTGGTCACATGTGGTTATTTTATTTGGTTACAGAAGCTGGTGAGGACCAGGCATTTGTTTTTTTAGCCCCTGATAAAAACAGAATTGAAGGAGGGTGTACATTATTTTTACCATGACTGTAGGCCATTTTATTCAGTTTCGATATTTTTTTCAGGTGACAAAGTAACCACTTAGATTGAGAATAAGTGGTCAGTCTATCAAAGTAATGCCAATTTAGAATTTCTTCTGACAAAATCCAGTCCTAAAAATGAAACCAGTTAACAGCTTTGAGCCCGGCTCATAATCTTTGCCATCAGGCTTTGGACCAGCTGTCACTGCATAGAGTAGATTTCTGTTTCTGGAACTGAAAAGCTGGAGTGTCTTTCATTTCACCTTAACCTGATTTCTGAAAAAGGCTCCCCCCCGAATGTAGCATGTCAGCTAGCTTTAGCAACATGAACAAGCCGCAGTGTGAACAGATTACCTTTACATACGTAGTACGTAAAATAAATGCCACAAATGGCTAAACTGTCCCGTGCAGACTGTAGGGCAGTTGTCATATGGTTGGATGCTGTTATCTAATTGAATTGTGTGATATGAATGACAATGTCTTTGACACTGGAAATGAAATTACCTAATGGGTGATTTTAACATGAACAGGATGTTGCATTATTGTACATTAAAGGATAAAGTTCAGAATGTAACTAATACATGTTATTATATGTTATTACATTACACATCATACCACCAAATTCTAATCAGTTCATCCTTGAATCCAAGTGGGTGTTTGTGCTATATGTGGAGAAAATCCCTCAAGGTTGTGTTCACAAGAATGGGACAAACGGACAGATGGACAACTTGAAAAGATAATGCCTCCAGCCACGGCCATTGCCAGAGCGGAGGTATAAAGAAGAGATTCCTGCTCTTCACCAGTTTTCTCATTGTGTGTATGTGTGTTGATATAGCTCCATCTCCTGTGTATGGCCACCAAGCATGGTGATCTGGAGAGTGTGTGTTACCTCCTGAAGGAAGCCTGTATCGCTGTGCCCCCAGAGCCATGCAACAACAACCCCGTCATCCTGGCAGCATACTACGGCCACACCAGCCTGGTCAAAGAGCTGCTGGATTCTATACCTGGTAGGAGGAAAAGAAACGGCTCCGTTTTCACATTATAAGGAAAAGGTCTGACTGTTGTTTTGTTGATAACATTTTTTTATTTAATCGTCAGATGATGTCCTATGACTGTGACACATGTTTGACACCGTTTATTTGACTACATATTGTTATTGCTGTAAAAGTTAATGATTTCACTCCAAACAATAAAGGGCAAGAAGGGCAAGCTGCCATTTTTTAAATATCAAAGTCATTTAGTAGTCATTAATAAAGTACTTCAAGATTATAGACTCATTACAACCAGATCCTCAAAATTTAGTGGTAGTTACCAATTTTGCTTGGGAAAAAAATGAACAGAATACCCCTTTAACATGTTTCACCTTCTGCTGAATTCTGGAAAAGTGCTCATTGAGAAACTAAACCATAGTGGTTGAACTGAAACGCTCATTAAGGTCAGGTCCTTTATGGAAAGTTTATACTGTACATAGAAAAATTTTTTAAATCTCCTCTCAAACTTTGAAACTATCAGATTGATAACAATACTAAAGGAATTTCTGGAGTGCAGTGTGTGATTATTAACAAAAAGGAAGTTTTTGGACTGATCTCCTCTAAATGGTGTTGGGTCTTTTGCTTTGCTTCAGGCCCATGTCTGAGGAAAGACTTGCTGAACTGGATGCTGGCCACATCTTGCCAACAGGGTCACCTGGATGTGGTCCGACTGCTGATCCATCGCTACGATGCTGATGCCAAGGACTGTGCCATTCACAGCAATGAGTTTGCCATCATCACTGGGCTGCCACTCTATGCTGCTGCTCGAGCAGGTAGGTAGACAAACAGGAATACATGTCAGACATCGTTTGTGCTTAGAACGTAGCAGCTGGTGGGAACATGTATACTGTGTTTTGGATTTGCTGCTTTACTGATACAAAATCCTCAAATCAGAAGAACTACATTTTCTAAAACTGTGATTCCTGTGTTTGTCTTGAAAATACAGATAAATACTTGAAGACCCCTCCACCCTTCACATTTCTCTGTTGAAAGTGTCAGGTGTCTCTGGCATGGTTCAAACATGCTCACACACACACACACACACACAGAACTTGTGACCACAAATCTGAAATCCAGTTGTGGTTCACCGAGTGAATATATGCAAATATGCTGGGGTGCATGATTTTTGGATGTAAACTGGACCTTGGAGCTTCTTTCCACTATTTGTCCATTTGAGTTAATATAGTTTATATGTGACATGTACCATTGTTGGCTCCCTGGTAGTAACCTTACTGAGTGCTAATTGTTAGCCTACTGCTGGGGTCCTCAAATCCAGACTCTGGTCCAGATCTGGACCCAAAGAGGTTTTTACCTGGACCACAAAACGTATCACATTAGAATAATAATAATAAGCCTTTTTTGGTGAGATTTTAACAGGCAGAGTGTGGCCAGCCGTGTGGGTCCTTCTGTTGCTGCACCTGTGTGTGAGTGAGTCTGCAGCAAGAGAGAAGCTTACAATCTCAGAAATGTTGACGCTGAAAATCAAGTAATCGCAAACACGCCTCCATTCTGCCTCTCTCCTGAAAACATAGCACAGTTAGTTTGTGCTCTGCTCCGAGTCTGTGGTGGTTGTAAAAAATTAAATGGGGGGATCTCTCCAGAGATCATTATATTCTGAGCCTCTCATGTACTGTATGTCAATGGGCAGGAAAAAATATGCAGACACCTCTGAATATAACGTAGTCCAGTACAACACCACCTTTAACTATGAACATAATTTGTACATTTATGACAATCTCACCAAAAGCTGAAACATTTTGAGCTTCATATACACAAATGTTAAGGAAGATGTGTTGCACTGAAGTGCATACAGATGTACAGGTGGTCATAATGTTATGCCTGATCAGTGTATGTTGATGGTGCAATGGCTGCCTGATGCAGTGGCATAGAACTTGAACAAAATCATTTAAAAAAATGTATGCACAGTGCATACAAGATTACAGCTTCAGGTGGCACTGCCTGAGCGGGAACACCTCTCACCTATTGCGTGAGACCAAATGCACTAATTCCTGCAGTGCTGCATTTCTTCTGTTCTCCACCACAAAACCCCACTGCGAGTCCTTAGTAAATTTGAACACACACAAAGATGAGCTTCAAAACGTAGTAACTATCCCTTTAAGTGAACGCTGTGTCCTCCTGTGTTACTGTGGATGGATGGAGTGACTCGTATAACTTCTGTTGCAGGCCATGTGGAGATAGCTTGCTTTCTGCTACAGAATGGAGCAGGATTTTCTTCATACACCCTGGTAGACCATCCAGCCTTCAGCAGACACCTCCTGAGGCTCAAATTAGAGGAAACCTCCAACACAGAAGGGAAGGAGGTCTGTATTCTGGAAACAAAGCAGGGCAATGATTTGTTTCTGAACCACCAACTGGTTCTGTAGCAGAAACAAATTCCTTGTGTGTGTAGCATACTTGACCAATAAAAGTGATTATCGTTATCATCAAAAACAATGGACAGTTTAAGAGTTCCCAGAAGTTAGGCAAACAAATCTTGATCACCCCCTGGTGAGTGGTTGCACTATAGGTCATAAACCCCACCCTCTTCCACATTAGTGGTTGGGACAACACTTGTACTCAAAGTACAAATCAAATACATTTTTCACAGAGGTAATTTCTGTGGTTTTTGGTAGATATCACACTGATATGTGTGGATATGGTCATTTCTTCTGATAAGTTTGTTTTAATGAGTTATATGATATTAAATGGGGGGATTTCAGTTGATTTGACAGCTTTGATTGGCAGTCCGATGTTATCACTCCACTTTTGGCCACTTCTGCGTAGAATCTAGTTGCAAAAAAAGGAAGATGGCAGCCGCCGTATTCGTGATATTTTGGCTTCATTTTTGCATAATGGAGGGAAGTGGTGATGCCATGTCCATGGTATATATGTCAATGTTCTGAACTAACAGATGCAAGACTGTCACATGAGAGATATCTGTTAATCAGGTTTTATATTTTGCACATATTCTCCTTCTGTTTAGCTTTTGCCCCCAACAATGCACTCTGACCTCTAATGTGTTCTGCTGTGTGGGTGTTTATTGTAAAACAGCAATTTAAACAATTCATCATAATGTAAATTTATTGCACCATTACACCAAATTTCTTTTCTAATTCATTAGTATCTGGTGGACATCTTTGTATGATGTGTGGGGGTAGTGAGCAATGCAAAATGACTGAGAGCTTATAGTACAGGGAGATCAACACGAGCAGTTATTTATTTTTACCATTAACCTAATGCATCACAAAAAGGATCAGTCAGGATTTCACATTGACTGAATTTTAAAAATTACAGCCTTTAAAAAATAAATCAAATTTCAGTGCCGATTCAAATATTTTTCCTCATGAATCAAATACAGTATTTAATAAATATAAAGAACAAGTAATTTTAGAAACATGGATATGTACTAGTGTATATCATTGCACTAATTAAGGTACAAATCATTTGCCTTCAGTGTTTTCAAAAAATAAACTGATTTAGGTCAATTCACAAAATTTCAAAAGTGCTATAATCTTTAACATGGAAATGTAATCATATACTTTCCTGTGTCAGAATATGCAATGAAATTTTAGGTTTTTGGGTGGAACATTTTTATTTGTTCACTTTGCTATGAAGTTAAATATTTCAATGTATCATAAATAAATTCATACAGTAGTGCTTTTAGTCCGAGTTGTGAGAGGTTGTCCTAAATTTATGCTACTACCATTCTTCTTAATGACATTAAGCCCTCTGTGTGTGTAGGCTGTCAGTGTTTGTTGGAGTGGTCTGCAGCTACCCTGGTTGGAACTGGACTGGTTCATGGATATGTCTTCACATATCACCCACCTGGACCTGTCATCCAACAGCCTGGTTGCTTTGCCCTCTGTGGTACCCTGGGGTCTCATCCACCTGCAAACTCTCAATCTTTCTAACAATCTGCTGAAAGAGCTGTCTTCTGCCTCCAGCTCCCAGGAGGTGATCTGCTCCAGGTACACATAGCAGGAGGTTGTCTGGCAAAGATGCACCTTTGATAAATACAGTTGAAGTCAGAAGTTTCCATCCACCTCTAGTCAAATACATTTAACCTCAGTTTTTCACAACTCCTGACATTTAATCCTTTAAATGTTCCTTGTCTTAGGTCAGTTAGTGTCACTAGGTTATTATAAGAATGTGACATGTCAGAATAATAATAGAGAAAATTTATTTCAGCTTTTCTTTCTGTCATCACATTCCCAGTGGGTCAGAAGTTTTACATACACTCGGTTAGTATTTGCTAGCATTGCCTTTAAACTGGTTAACTTGGGTGAAAGGTTTCAGGACACCTTCCACAAGCTTCATACAATAAGTTACTGGAATTTTAGCCCATTCTTCCTGACAGAACTGGTGGAACTGGGTCAGGTTTGGAGGTCTCCTTACTCACACACCCTTTTTCAGTTCTGCCCACAAATCTTCTATTGGACTGAGGTCAGGGCTTTGTGACGGCCACTCCAGTACCTTGACTTTGTTGTCCTTAAGCCATTTTGCCACAACTTTTACATTCATCTCTAGGAGACAAAACGCATCTCCTTTCTGAGCAGTAAGATGGCTGTGTTGTCCCATGGTGTTAATACTTGTGTAGTATTGTTTATACAGATGAACGTGGTATTTCACATGGTACCTTTTTCTGAGATGTTGGCTGATTTCTTGTTTTCCTTTGATTTTCCTGTAATGTCAAGCAAAGAGGTACTGAGTTTGAATCTAGGCTTTAAAATACATTCACAGGTGCACCTCCTATTGATTGATGTCAATTAGCCAATCCGAAGCTTCTAAAGCCATGACTTCATTTTCTGGAATTTTCCAAGCTGCTTAAAGGCCCAGTCAGCTGAGTGTATGTAAATGTCTGACCCACTGGAACTGTGATGCAGTGAATTCATCTATCTGGGACCATAATATTAATATTTTGTAGATTTTCCTCTGGAAGAATGAGCCAACCCTCTCTCCTAAGAACTACCACAGAACACAGATAAGTTTTGAAGGGAACGTATTTGATTGCTGGACTGCAGTTTTTTAAACCACCCCTCCCTTGTAGCCTACCTCTTAGGCCCCGTTTTTTGAAAATTTTTTTGGGCATTCTTTTTTTTTGGGGGGGGGGGGGAATTGTGTTGTTGGATAATACTCTGAATCAAGGCATTATTGAATAAATTAAGTGCTGCTTTTTTCTGTAGACACAGCAGATGGTTGCTACAAATGGCATTAAATATTACCATTTAATATCTGGGGCGGATAGTGAAGCTGTAATACATAACGCTGGAACTCTAGATGCTGAAGTTTGAGTCTGCTTAGTGTTTTGGTTGACACAATGCTAGGCTTCTAGACCATGTAGGGCAGTGGTTCTCAAACATTTTTTGTCATTCCCCACTTAAGAGGGTGGGCGAATTCTCAAGCCCCACTTGTCAAAAAATATTGAAATCGGCCAATTTTTAAATTTCAAATGTATTGAACTATCAAATAACAGCAAGTTCAAAACAGATAAAATAAAAGTACAACTGTATCGTTTGACAGGGGGATAGTTTTCAGTTTTGCAGCACTTGTCTCATCCAGCATAATCAACACCATGTCTACAGCAGCAGGGAGAATAAGCTGCTCAGCAATTGACTGGGGTGTGTTGTCTCTATGTCTTCTTAATTTGTTGGGCCTCATGCTGTCTGCTGCCAGCGGTTTAAGACACAAGACACACATGGGTCCCTCCTCTGCCCCCACCATTCCCACAGTGAATCCAAGCGCAAGATAGGCTTCATCATGTTTTCTTTTCGGCTGGCTTTTTGGTTGATAAGGCTACTGCCTGTCGTTTCTTTGTCTGCTTGCGCTGAATCGCCTTCTTTTCTTTGTGGTCCATGTAGCAAATTTATCCATTTACATTATTTTTCCCACTACGTACACTATTGTTCCTCTGTGTGAGCGTTTCCTTATATTGTTGCACGGCAGTTAACATGCCGACGTTGAAACTGTTATTGTTGCACTATGGGTTCCCCTTTTTTCTCCCGGGCCCCAAACTGATGTTATTTTAATTTAGTTGTATTAATGACCCATTTCTAATTTTCTCCATTCATTGCGCCCCACCTGTCATGTCTTTATTCCCCACACTTTGAGAACCACGGATGTAGGGGCGGCATCTGCCGCTGAGAAGTGACCCACAATTCATGGTGTCATATGGTGTTACCACCTTGTAGCGTGGAGCCTTTGGTCCTGGACATTATTTTAACCCCTCATCAGAAAAACAAGTAAAACATTCAATTTTCATGCGTAGGCATGTACAGTACAGTAGTCCATGTCAGTTCATATGTCAACCAGCCACAGTGAACACAACAGCTGTGAGTGAGGCTCCAGGGCGTGCGCCAAAGTTTTTGGCCATTCTGTAGCCTCAGTGCACCGTGCACAGCTGATCACAGCTGTACTAGACATGTAAAACGGTCTGTTCTGATCGCAGCATCATTGATGCACATGTTAAATACAAACAGTGTTGCTGACAAACATATCGAGTGTTTTTAACTGACTGGAGGATGATTTGAGCTTCGCTGTGTTCACTCAGACCAGGACCAGCGCACACACTTCTGCTTTAGGCGAAAACCACCTCTGACAATTTAAATGCCTACATCTGTACTTGTCTCCTATAGAAAAAAACTGTTAGTTGTCTCTCAGACTTACTCTTTCTTGTGCTTCAGTTTACAACAGGTGAATCTCTCTCAGAACCAGCTCACCAGTCTGCCCCCTGGACTTCTCCATCTGACCAACATCCAGAGACTTTCTGCTGCCAAGAACCAGCTTACAGTCCTGTTTGACATCCCCACCAGTATGTTCCTGTTTATCTTATTTATCTTATATGCATTGGTGCATACAGCTAATTACAGTTACATTTCTTTAATTGGTTTTGCTCAATTTTTCCATCTGGTGGCCCTATGTGTGTGTGTGTGTGTGTGTGTGTGTGTGTGTGTGTGTGTGTGTGTGTGTGTATG